TCCGCAAAACCTCATTTTACTCGTTTTGTGCTGCATTAGGTTTCATAAAAGTTACACTGCCGAGAAATTGTCTTTGTGTGTGCATGTTTCGAGTGCGTTTTGTTCGGGGTTTTTAACTCGGGAATCAAAAAAAACTAGGAAGCTGAAGGTTCAGAGGTATGTTCCCATCCATGTGTGATCTCACAAACTTAAATTCAATTTCCACGTCGACCTGTGAAAGTATTATTGTGAAAGTCATTAACTCGGAGCAAGAAAAGCTAGGAAGTTAAAAACTTAAGAGACAACCCCGCAAATTTAATATGGCTCTCCACGCACGATCACGCGAAAGTTTTGGTGCAGAGTCTGCTAACTCGGGAATCACTAGGGAGCTGAAACTTCACGAGGGTGTTCAGTGCCTAAGTGCAAACTAAAAAATTTCAAATTCAGCTCTCGCGTGCATTTATGTTTCACATACAGTCGCAAGAGACTTTGGCGGAAAAATTGCTAACTCAGAGGCCAAAAAAATCAATAAGTTTAAGAAAGATGCTATGTGCCCATATGCGCGACACAGAAGTTTTTAGATTCAGCTTCCACGTATGCGTAAGAAGCGTGCACTATAGAGGGTTGTTTCCGTATCCGGGACCAGACAAAGTAGGAAGCTGAAATTTCAAGACGTTTCTTGTCCGTGTGCAATTCTGAAATTTTAGATTCAGCTTTCATGTACTCCTAGACCTCATGTACGGAAGAATATAATTTTTGGCCGAAAAGAACATTCTGACGATTTCTGCGGGTGTCAAGAAAACGAGCAGCGAAAATTTTTAACAGCAAATGTCCGCTAAAAAGACTTGCCCAAAGCGCATGAATGCACTGGCTACCATAGTGCGCTTCATTGTTTATCCTAGTGTGTGTCTGGGTGCGATATTAGAAGACTCGGGGCGGATGCGTGGACAGAGGCATACCATTTGCTGTCTCATTAATGTGCGCCTGCAGAAGCGCATAAAAACTGCAGGGGTGTTCGGTGTTCGCTTGCCAAATGTGGGAATGATGGCCTTCTGTTCTGGACTCCTCTGGGTAGAAAGATTCGTCTTCATTTGCATTCGGTGTCAAGAGGTGCGATGCTCTTCTTTGTGTAGCACCCGTTCCTGATCGGTCTATGCAACCCGACACACATCTGCCCAACTGACCGACGCCTCACCTTCCAGCGAGCATTTTTTTGCGGTCTAACATCACTGGCTTGCACCTCTTACTCCAGTTTTTGCGTTCATAATGTCTCCTCATCGATGGCTCACAAATGTCATCCACAGCAAAATTTTATGATACCGTACACGCAAAACTGGTCTGTCTTAGATTTCACATACCGAATTTTTCATTGGTAGGGAGTAATGGAGGAAATGTGGCGGGAGAGCGGAGTGAGCTGTGCTCTAATCCGGAACGGAGTATTCATTGCTTTTTTAAGCGTCAATCATCGTACCCTGTGTTGATTTTGGTGATGAATTGTTGCTGAGGTGTTCTAGCACTCAGCATTCTCAAATTGCTCTCATTCACTGCCTTCTAGAGATGCAGCTTCTTTTTAAAACACCATCCGAAAAAGGGCTCTAGGGGTAATCTTACTGGTTATTGCACAGCTTGCATTGGTGAAGATTCCAGCTGTTAGGCGGGTTCTAGCGGCGTTCAGTACCTTTCATTATGGCGCAGAAATTTTGAATATTAATAAAAACTTCGTAATCTTAGAAATATGAAAACAATCACTGGAGCAGAATTCGAATTGAGGTAGCAAATGGATGATTTCTAGTTAGTTGTATTGCGTTTGCTAGTGATTGAGTTTCGGTTGCACTAAATTGACTGTAAAAAGGAGCAAAAAATTGCTGGGGCATAAACGTGACACTTCGACGGATTTATGCGCTCTGCATTAATTGTGGAAATGCAGTTGGGCAAAATCAGTGTCGAGAGGTTGTCGCTGTATGTGTGTGTCTGTGTTTGTGTGCGTGATTCAAGTGCATTTTGTCCGTACTTTTTAAATCAGGAACTGTAAGAAGAACGTCCCCTGCCCGTATGTGACCCCTCAAATTCAAATTCGGCTTTCATGTACGCCTGAGTTTTACATATCACCCAGCGAAAGTTTTAACTGAAAAATCACTCAGATGCCAGGAAATTAAGAAACTGAAATTTTGGCAAGATGTTGGATCGCACATGGATCCAAAATTTTCAAATACAGCTTTTATGTGCAGTTTACATTGTTTCACGTGCCGGCATGTGAAATTTTTGGCGGGAAATTCTACAGCTTAGAAACCAAGCAATATATCGACTATTCTTGTTCACACGGATGTGTAAAGCAGGCAGACGTGTGATGGATGGACTACGCAAAACGCATGATCGCAACCGCTACTTTGTTGCGCACCGCTGTTTATTTTGCATACGCCGGACAAATCCCTCTAGCAGTCACTGAAACCCCACA